TAACAATCTCTGCTGTCTGAAGTTGTAAGTTGCTGTTTTCTCCCATGGAGACCAATAATTGCAGTGGAACTGAACCTCCACATTCCCCTTTCCTCCCAGGCAGCATCTCTCTGGCCAAGGCCTTGGCTTACTCGTTGTGCTTTGAGACTCCACATCTCTGACTGCACCTTCTCTGTCCCACTCTCCTTTTATCTGCAGCTCCAAGGCAGGAAGGCTGCCTAATTCCAAGCTTGTGTTTGGTCTATTTGAAGATGAAAGGGTCTGACGTTGTCGATGGAGTTTACTGTGAGCATCATTCACTTGGCAAGAAAGGTCAGGAGCATTCAGCAAAGCAGGAGAGGGAAAGAACCACTTTCTGCCCAAGCAATGGGCAGGGGCTGTGCCCTCCTTGGTCTCCATGGCTATCACCTGGGAATTTTCCTGTCTGTTTTTACTGCTTAGCAGAAGTGTCTGAGAGTTTCTAACACAACTGAGAATTGGGGAGTGAGAGGTTTGGAAGTGAAAAGGAAATTCATATACACTACCCCTGGCCAGGATTGGCTACATGATTTGTGGGTCCCAGTGCAAAAGGAAAATATGGGGCTCCTTGTTCAAAAGGCAGGGGGAAAGTGCTTTGAAAGGTGGTAAAATTAACTAACTAAATAAATGTGATAAAATATGAAGCTTTATGGTTTTTCTCTTGATTTGTCATGGTAATTTTTGCTATTTAATCTTGCATATCCTCAGACACAGATACTCAAGGGGACAAATGCAAACTCTCCTAGGCCTCCCAGTGATACTGCCTTGCCATTTGGGACACTATGTGGCCCACCAATGGCTGGGTGACCCTTCCTGCCTGCGATGGCATTTATGTGCCTTGTCCTGGTGAGTTGGGGAGAAAGGAGGAGAGAAACCAGGCATCTCCCTTTCCCACAGACTGGCCACTCCAACTCATGGAGGACAGATAATCCCCAGCACATTGAACCCTAGTGCCACTCTGGAGGTAGCTGGATCAAGGGTGGACAAAAGGTTTGTCCTTCCCCTATAGTCGCCTGACAAGTACACTGTGGTGTTGCCAGCCCACATCCATGCCCCACTCCAAGAAGCAAACCTGACCCTCCCTGGGTCTGTGACCAAGACCTTGCTGGAGGTGGGTGTAGGTGGATAGAGGTGAAGAGGGGCTTGGGGTTCCTGGGGTCGTGGTATTGGGCAGCTTAGAGCTTTGGATTTCTGGAGCCCAGAAACTCTTAGCATGGCACAGCTGCCTCTGAAGCCCTGGAGAGGGAAAGGCAGCACTTTCTGAAATAAATGAATTGCTGGTGGTCTTTTCTCTAGGTCTAGGTTAGAGGCCCTGGTGGAGGTGGGCCCCTCCTGGAGTTCTATGGGAACTGGCTGGTTGGTGGGCCCAGGGCTCCATGACAAAGCACCCTGGAAGCCAGTGGGGACCCCATGCCCCAGCGGGAAAGTCTTTGTTTCTGAGTAGCCAGAAGTTGGGGTTGCTGTTTGGGGGCAGATGGGACTTAGGAGGGAGCTGTCATCTTGTGGCAATTGGGTTAGGAGTGGAGAGAGGAAGAAAGGATCCAGCCAAGGCCCTGAAGGGGGGCTGTGGCCTTCAGAGGCAAGTCCCTTGGCCAGAGACCTGGTGCCTAGAGGACTGAAACTGACTCAGGATACCCTGCTGCATGTGCACAGTACTTCACAGTTCCTAATCTGCCCTCCCACCAGAGAGAGAGAGTGAGCACATGACAGCAGGGGTGGGGGTAAAGGGAGAAGGAGAGGGAGAATCTTAAATAGGTTCCACACCCTGCATGGAATCCAACTCGGAGCTTGATCTCATGACCCTGAGATCATGACTTGAGCTGAAATCAAGGCAGATGCTTAACTGACTGAGCCACCCAGGCACCTTTCTCTAATGTTCCTTTTCACATCTTATTTCATTTCATGCTTACAATGACTCTGGGAGGTGCTCATCCACCCATTATATAGATGGGGAAAGGGAGTCATAGAGCAGAGGACTGGCTGGTCCAAGTAAGTGGCAGAACCAGGATTTGAAGCAGGACCCTGTTCATTTTGAGTATCAGTCGTGTACATGGCTTAAGGTATCTGCAATGCCATGAATGAAGAAAGTCTTTCTGAGCTGTTAACCACTCATTTTACTGGGTACACTATATTCTGTTAACCCCCTTAACAGTTCTGCTCAGTAGATAACGTGATCTCCACATGGCAGATGAGAAGAAAAGTTGACAGAACTGACCTAAAGTCACCCAGCTAGTAAGTGGCAAATCCAACATTCAAATGTAAGCTCACCCAACTCCCAGATGAATTTCCAGTTTATGCTCTATGTACTCTTCTGTTTGGGAGACCTGGTCCTTCCTAAGTGGGCCTAGAGTGGGAAGGCCTGGACAGACACGTGACCAGAAGACAGCATGGTAACTACCACCAGGGATGTGTGTCTAGGCTGTCATGAGATCACAGAAGGAACAGGGGAAGCGTTGCAGAGGAGCAGGCTGAGGACGTGTGCAGGGGCTCCCAGGTAGATGGTGGGCCTAGGACTTAGAGGTGGCTTCACTACTTAGAAGTGGCCTGTAGACTGAGCCCGGAGTCATGGGTTGTGTCCTGCCAGCGATGAGGATCCCAGAAAGGTGCTGGGCAGGGACATCATATAATCAGATCCCACATGTCCAAAAGATCACACTGCTGACTGGGTGGTGAATACCAGGAAGGAGAACAGGTATCAGCAAAGCCACCTTAAAGCTTTATGTTAAAGTCAGGAGGGGTGGACAGTGTAGGTCAGCTTTGTTAACTATAGCAAAGGAAAATTAATGTGCATTTCTCAAATATGTACAACTTTCTTTGGTTCTTTTTGGTGGAACAGAGCTTAATATGGCTGGAAGGTGAGGCTCTGTGATACAGAAATAACTCCGTTTTATGGGTCTAACTGTATCTTCAGGTCCATGTTTTTAAACAAAAGAAGAAAAAGAGAACTTCGGGTTCATATGAAGGATCTCATTTATGGTCAGTGAAGAGGAAAATGACCCTTGTCTGGGATTGTGACCATCAGTGGAAGGCCTGCATGTCTCTGTGTCCAGCCTTGGCTCTGGCAGCAGGGGGCTGTGCTGTTGTCATGGTGCAGTTTTTGAATCTTTAGTCTATCTGCAGGCAGGAACCATGCAACTCAGATATCTATGGATTTGCTAGAGTAGCTGTGGCATTATACTAATTTTACAGATAAGGATACTGAGGGTTAGAGAAGTTGGGCAAATTGCCCCTGGAGCTAGCTAGCTGAAGCCCAACCATGTCAATATCTGTTGATATGAACTAAGTTTTGTGCCGATACTTTTTGACCTAGAAGTTGGGGTGCCTGGCTTCTTGTGAAAAGTCTATGTGGCATTTGAATGCAAGAAATTGTCCTGCAGATGCTGAAAAGTTAGAATATCTAGGGATGGTCTGCTGGTTTATGGGACATTAATATTTGGAACCAGCACTGCTGGGGAAAATCCAGGAGGGATGGCTGTCTTAGATTTGACAGCTTTAAGTCCCAAGCTGCTCTAAAAACGGCTCTCCCTCCCAGCCCAGATGGATGGAAGCAGAGCAACGGCTCCAGAGGAGAGCCAAGAGGACAGTGTTGTACATCACATGCCCTGAGCTGACGGCCGGGCACTGACTTACGATGAAGAGAAGCATTCCAGGATGAAATGGGAGGCAGGAGGGGGAATGGGGAGCCTCTGAGCGTGCCTGTCCTGCATCAGCCAGCCATACACAAATGGAAGTTTGTGACCTCTGCTTGGGGAATGCATGCTGGGCCCTAGGGGGTCCAAGGGGTCCAAGCTGGCAGTTCCTGGTGGAGTTGGAGGCTGGTATAGCTCAGAGGGATCCCAAGGCTGGCATTTGTCACATGGAGGTGGGGGAGGGAAGGGAGAGAAGTCAGCCACCAGCAGGGTGGGTTGCTGGCTGTGCGATGCTGGCTGGAGTCTCAGTGGGGGAAGCTGCAGGCCAGATATGACAGATGAGCTCAGCGCTCTGCAGAAATCACCCTGGAGAACACATCCTGACCAAGCAAGGGAGAAAGATGCAACCTCTGTGTCCTACCCTGTCCAATAAGACGGCACAGGCCCTATGTGGCTAATGAAATAAAATAAAATAAAATAAAAATAAAAATTCAATTCCTCAGTCTTATTAGCCATGTTTCACATGCTTAATAGTCATATGCTGCTATTGGTTACCAGACAGGATGGTGTGGAAATAGGACATTTCAATCACTGCAGAAAGTTCTATTTCAGTGTAAACAGTCTTACTAATATTTTTAAATATTGATCATCTGTTGAAATCACATTTAAAATATACTGAGTTAAATAAAATACACAAATATGAACTTCACCTGTTTCTTTTTACCTTTTTTACTGTGGGTAATAGAAACTTGTCAACTACCAATGTGGCTCATATTTCTATGGGACAGTACTGCAGCAGATGGATATAGGAACACACTTCCATTTATCCTTGTTTTTGATGTCACAACCATTCGATGGTGTTCTATTGACGATGGCTATAAAAAACTTTTCTTAGCACAAATGTTACGGAGCCAGCCCAGGGTAATGGGGCAAATGCAAGCTTTGGAACTGAAACAATTCAGGCTCAATGCTCAGCTTCCCTACAGGTTGCATGCTCTTGGGCAAATTACATAATCCCTTTATGCCTCTGTTTTCTCCACTAAAAAAATGCAATCAGTGAATGAGTCTGTGCATAGTGTTGCTTTGAACATAGGAGACAGCGCATGTACAGGGATTATTGTGGGCCTGACCCCTAGTCTACCTCAGTAAAAGTAGCTGTTGTTATTGTTTTCATTGTCATTAGTATTTTTTAGCAAGAAAGGATCAAAGTTATGGTCAGTTTCTCTGGTCTCAGACCATCCACTCTCCTGCCCCTGCCTCAGCATTCTTGCTCTCTGATAATGACTCCTAGTACAGCTGTCAGCATCCTCTCCTGGGCCTATGCAAAGCCCTTGGGCATGGCCAGGCACTCACCTGATGGCAGCTGCTGGCCCAAGAGGCCCTGAGGGCTCCCCAGCTTTCTGAGCGTGTGGCCTTGCTCTCCAGGTGCATCCGCAGTTGTGCCTCCAGCTCCTGGCTGACGCTCTCCAAGGCATGAACCTTGGCCATGTATTCCACCAGGCAACCCCCCAGGTCTTCAACGGTACTGAGGTTCCTCTCCAGACCTGGAGCTGGTGCTGTGGCCAGACCTGAGCTTCGCAGGCCCTGCAGAAAAACACTGCTGATGCCCAGGGCCCGGCGTGTCACTCGAGTGCCCAGGCCACTTGTGTACCCACTGGGCGCCATCCCTACATAGACTCTGGGTGCTCGGATGAGACCACCCATGGCATTGGTCCTGGAGGCTGGGGGGCTATCCAGGGAGGATGATGACCATGTTCCCCCGAAGGATGCCCTATGCCTCTGGAGGGGCATGCTGGAGCTGGCCCCGGTGGGCATGTCCACTACCACCTGCCTTGTGCTCATCTCCCCTTCTGCCTCTGCTCTGCCTAGTGGGTTTGTAGAGCCTAGTGGCTTTTGATTTTCAGCCCCAGTGTCCCTGTGGCCCGGTCGTGGGCCTCTCTGGAAGCTTCTCTAGCCCCAGGGCTGCTTTGTCTGCTGTTTTCCATGAGCTTCCACCATTCACCCAGCTGAAAGAGAAACAGTCCCTGGCCAGGGCTGCGTGTAGAAAGGCACTCATGCATTCTCTGCAAGGTCATGTGTCTGACCTCCCAGATTTTTCCACTGGTAGTGGGGGAGGCTGGATCAGTGCAGGCTGTAGAGGGGGCTCATCTGGTCTGTGTACTTCACTACTTAAGAGAGGGCAAAGCAGCCCCATTTCACAGATGAATGAACTGAGGTTCAGAGATCTCAAATCACAAGTGTAGGGAGTCGCTGACCCAGAACTGAATCCAGGTGCTCCAGGGCCGATCTCAGAGCTTTCTACATCTTTGTGTGTGCTGTGTATGTGAATGTGTGAATAAGCATGCGTGTCTACACCGATAATAGATGGTGGAAATGGATGTGAATCACCCATGGTGGGAGGCAGTCCCATGAACTCAAGAGAAACAAATGAAGCCTCTTGCCTCTCTTATCCTCCCTCAGTCTTGGCAACAGCTTCAGGTCCTCATGTGGCATTTTTCTTACCTCGAACACTGCTGTTATCAGCTGCTTGACCTTGGCCATGTTGCTCCACTTCTCTGGACCTGACTTCCATGCACTGGCCTGAGCTTTCTCTAATGCACTAGACAAGGGATCCTGGGCAAATTCGGGTCCCACACGTTTTGGGCACCTATTATGCTGTAGCTGTTCTGTACACTTCTGTTTCTCCATTTGCCAGAAAACTAATAAATAAGAACAAAGAGAAGGTTTTCCAGTAAGCTCTTTAAGGGTGCTTTGAGTTAGGATTTAATGACACACCCTGGGTTTTAACTCCTACTGTAAGCATCTACTAAGGCATGTTGAATTCACATCTTGAATGCTTGTCTGGGTCTAGAAAAGATCTTCTGAGATCACAAAATGGACCTAAACCCCACTGCACTTAAGTTTTATCCCAGAGAAACCAAGTAGCCAAAACCCAGAGCTGGATATTTCTCCCAAATTCTGCAACATGGGGACATACCTCAAGTGAAAGAAGGGGAAGGGAGCCAACTTCTGGTATGTATTGAATCTATCCTAGTGTTGTATGTGGCTTCCATACTTTATTTCACTGAATTCTCAATTCAACCTTAGGAGGTAGATAGAGGGTTGACATGTGCTACTATTTGAGTTGTGCACTGCACAACTTCAGCAATACCATCACATGTCAAAATATGGTTTATTAATTCCTTATGTGATGAGGATGCTGAAAGCTCCAATGACTTGTCCAAGGTCTCCTGCTCAGAAAGCAGCAGAGCTGGGATGGGAAGGCCTCTTCTGACTCCTAGTCAGAAGAGTCACTCCTAGTGACTTATCTAGGACCCCCTCGGTCTCGGAACACCTAGAGAACTAGGGTAGCATCCAAAATCACATGAGCAGAGTTTAAAACTACTGTTACATACTGGAATATTCTATGTGCTCTTCCTTGCTGATAAAGACACCACAACTCCTTTTTCCCCTTCTACTTTATCTGTTTGAGATAACACAGAAGATACTTTATAAATATCAATGTTGGTTGTATGATTAACAGTTTAAGGAACCAACTTGATCAAGTAAAAGCTGGTAGTGTCCCTTATTTCTTTAGATGTCCACCTCTGGTACACCCTGTAGGGCCTACAGCACCCACCAGACTGTTATAATAACATCCTCCTAACACTGGGTCTCGAGGAACTGTAGGAATTCAGGGTATGTCATCGAAGGCTAAATGAAGGGTTCAGGATACTGATTAAGTTGTTTGCACAGGTGTCATGTTTACGAACTGTTATTTTCTACAGAATGATAACTTCCAGTGCCCAGGTTAACCCCAGCTTTCTCTTACCCAAAGATATGTACAGCAAAACCCCCAGCCCCAGGGAAGGAAGAGGAGAGAGAAGGGATGTACCTTACTTGACACCAATGTTTCCAAAGACCTAGAGAGAGATGATTCTCTTTTGAAGAAATCACAAACATGTTCTAAAGGATTTGTATAATTAAATGACAAATTGCTAATCCTATTAGCTCATTACACTCATAAAACCCAACTTATTGTTAAAATAGATTAAAAAATACAGATGAATATTAAACAGTGTCAGTACTTAAGGAAGACTTAAAAATTATTTTAAAATGAAAAGAATGCAAAATGTATTAGCAACTTAATCCTCTGGCTAATAAAATAAGTTTATTTATATATACATGGTAGTTGAATTCTGTGGATAAGGAAAAATAAGTCATACATCCACATATATGTATATATAACATATGTATCTTTGATTACATATATTATATATAGTTTTACTTTACAAACAGATTTCTTTATATACACACACACATTGCTATAGTAAATGCAATAGCTGACAGAAATATAAGGTTAAAAGATCAGACAGCAGCACGCTGGTAAATGAATCTCAGAGCAACATTTAACCTGCTTCCTTGTGGGTTGAAGAATCTTTAAAGAGAGACAACCACCAAACTCATGTTAACTAGATCCATACAACATTGAGAACACACATTTTTGAAGGCCATCTTTTTTTTTTTTTTAAAGGAAACACATGAAGAAAGGAAAGTTATGATAAAAAGACCACAGTAACAACACGAACATATGAATCAACATTCAAGTCAATTCCCAATCTGACTATAAGAACATCTATATTCAAAATATACTATCAAACTAATTTTCTTTTAGAGAAAGAGTCAAAGCAGTTCTCTCCTCTCCCCACCATCTACTAGGAAAAAAAGTAAGAAGCAGCCATCTGTGGAAGCCCCTGGTACATCTCTGTGGGTCTGACCCCTCCTGAGTGTGGGCGGGGGAGGTGGCTGGCCCACCACCAGTGAAGACAGCCATGCAGGGGAGACTAGGAAATGAGCACTGGGTGGGAAATGACCATCTGCGGACCTACAAGCAGGTCTGCAGTGCTAAGGAGGGAAAAAATGATGTCTTCTCCCAAGCAATCCACTTCGGCAATCTTGTTTTTGTAAGATCGCAGGAGGGTTTAGAAAATTACAGCTCCACGCTTCAAGGCCTCTTACATAAGCATGTTCCTCAGGGGCACAGTGAGATGCCTTTTGAGAAAACAAAGCTGAATCCCAATAAACATTTGATCCTTGAGGAAGGGTAAGCATTCCCAAGCTCCAGGCTTAGGATCCACATCTAAACCATCTCCAGAGAAAGGCACAAGTTTGAAAGCAGATGTGGGTGTTGGAGAGGAAGCAGGAATGTGCTTGGGGTGGGGGGGCTTTTTTGTCCACCAGTGCAAGGCAGTCCTGTTGTTTAGCATAGTGGAAGCTCCCTGTTGTGTGACGTTAGGGGGATGTGGCCTTGGGATGCTGGATGTCCTCTACAGACTCCTGAGCGCTGCATGCTCCTGCCTGCTGTCCTGAACTCAGACGAAATTAGCCTTGACAGCCAATGGTGTCACTGTGCGAGTGCAGAATACTCATTCACCGGGGGTGATGAGATGTTCGCTTTACCTGCTCTGTGTGAGAGTCTGCTGCTTCTCCCTAGGTGGCCCAGTTGCCTTCACTGGTGTGCATAAGGAGGGGGAGGAAATGGGGTTCCACTGAATCAAGAAAAACCGGAGCTTTAAGAAGCACTCAAAGGGCCGTGCTTGTGACCATTTTAACATTTCACTTCTACAGGTCTTTCTCTTCCCTCACCTGTCTGGGGCTGCTGGGACCCCCAAATGCTCAAGGACAGTTATTAAGAGAAGCAATCAATGCAACTGCTTTGCTTAGAAATACGTTTATTTTATAAAGCCACAGATCAATCTGTAAAGTTTTTTTTTTTTTTTAAACCACACTTATAAAAAAGATGTTGACAATTCTTAGGAAAAAAAAGCTGAAAATGTTTCTTATTAAGTCAGGGTTACACAAAGATTATATTTATAATATATATTTGTATATTTATAATTTAGAGACGAAAGGTAGGGAACAGCAAAGCGAGAGCTGCTGCGGTTAGATCTCCGATACTTGATCATTTCCCACAAACAGTGTTTCTTGGCAGAAGGGGTTGACGAGGACCATCCCAGTGTCTCTGTAGTCACCATTGGCTGGGGATCGGGGTTCCGAGAGCTGGTCCTGGGAGGAGGGAGGGAGGAGACAGTATGTACTCGGAGGGTTCAGGTGGTGGCCATTCATAAAGAAACACACACACAAGGACATCCATTTCCACATGATATTGCTTGGTAAACATTTTCATCGTCCTCACTGCCAATGCTGAAGTGCAGAGCCCTCTCTGTTCTTCCTTCAGATTTTTATAGTAGCTTCTGGAAAAGATTTCCTGCTCCCTGAATGACTCCCAGCTCAGGTTGCCAGAGATGGCATTGCTCTCCGTGTAGAAGTCTGAGAGGGCTTGCCGTGCATGATACATGGCACATGGCTTACTGCCCTCGTGGGCAAAACTGGGTCTGTGTGCCCCTTGGACTCTCATTCCTGCCTCTTTCTCATAGCTTTCTGGGAGACCTGGTGGCTTTTCCTCCCTGCACTTTCACACCCTAAACTTCTCACCTCTTTCCTCTCCTAGCACCCACCTGTCTGAGCCTTTAAGGGCTCATTCCTCCCCCTCCTGAGTCCTCCCAGAGCCTGGTCAGAATTATTGTCCTATTTCTTGTAGTACTAGATGTCCTGAGGTGAAGACATATGAGTCTCTACATGACAGTAGGTGGTTAGTGAAAAATTCAGTGTGTCTATACAGTCCCAGAAATGGAAAAGCCTAGAGATAAGCAATTCACTGATCAGGTCTTCTGAGCAGTTTTGGCTTCAATGAACAAGGATTGCAAGCATTTGTGGTCCACTAGACATCTGTACTCAGGGTCAGGCCCAGGGATTAATTCAGGGGAAAAATTAGCTTGTTCCAATTCTAAAAAACTGCTGTCTCAGAACCTGTAGGCTACTTCAGGGCAAAGCCTCAGTAATATGCCAAGGTAGAACTGGCTTAGGCCAGACTGGCTTAAATGTCTTCACTTGAAGAAGATATGATTAATTCTCTGAAGTTTATTTTAAGCAAAACATGTATAATTTTGGGGGAGTACATATTGCCTTATGGAAAATAAGGAGAGAAAGGAAGAAAGGCCATTTGTTGGTGAAATGTCTTTTCAGAAGATAAAAATTTTCTTCAATGTCTGGAATTGACTGAGTGTCCATCTGAGAGGTAGACATGGGGTCAGCCCTCTGAGTAAGGAAAACAGGGCATCCCCTTTTTCCACTTGGCTTTGGGTTGAGCTGTGGAGGGAAATTCTGTGGCCAAAATCTGGTGTGTCATTTTATAGTTCTTACAAAGCAAGTGTTCACCAAGGGTGAACCGTGTGGATACTTCCCACAGTGTGAAAGAGAAATTTACTTAGAAAATAACAGACAAGAAAAAAGAAAAAAAAAAAAAAAAAAAAGAGGAGGAATGGCCGGAAGAGGGGGAGAAAAACTATGGAAAAATTTCCAGGCACATTTTGAGCATTACAGTTTTGCCTGTACAGCCTGGATTTGTGTTTGGCTGCTTTCATCAACCCAGACGGGGAGCAGGGCACCAGAGAAACTTGCTTAGGCAAAGCACTTGGCAGCCACCAAAGCTGGCAGCTACACAGCAGGCTGTGAGTGCAGCCTCAGGCTGTGGTGTGCGGGGCAGATGCCCTGTGACCGCGTGACCCTGCTATGGGTGGTCCGCAGGGCCTGTGTGTATCCAGGGAGATGGAACAAATTGTAACATTACTCTAAATAAAGCAGAATGAGGGCAGCCGACCTGCTGGGAGGGAAACAGTGATAAAACCCATTTTGAAGCCCAACTGACCTTCCTGCTTCTGGTTTTCTTGCAATCTCCTGACCTGGGATGGTGATTGTGGCAGGGGTGGATTGGGTGGCTGGGTGGGGCAGCCTCTACTAGAACCTCTGGTTTTTGTCCGATGGCAACCCCAGTGCTCTGGGCTGGAATGACTAACTAGGATGCTGCATAAGCATGGTCTTTTCTATAGTAAAGCTCACAGACACTGTCCTTTGCCTTTGGTTTTCATTTACCAGTTTGCAAAGAGAATATGAGAAATTTAGAGTTCAGAGATTCAGAGCCCACACTCAAAATGTGGCCAGCCCCTTTGCTAACTTACCCATTTTTTTACTCACTAGAATAGTTCTCAGGAACACTTTAAAAAAAATTAACATATAATGTATTATTTATTTCAGGGGTACTGGTCTGTGATTCATCAGTTACTTACATAATTCATAGCACATACCCTCCCCAATGTCCATCACCCAGACACCCCATCCCTCCCACACTCATCCCCTCCAGCAACCCTCAGTGTGTTTCCTGAGATTGAGTCTCTTATGGTTTATCTCCCTCTCTGGTTTTGTCTTGTTTCATTTTTCCCTCCCTTCCCCTATGATCCTCTGTCTTGTTTCTCAAATTCATCCTATCAGTGAGATCACAAGATGATTGTCTTTCTCTGATTGACTTATTTTGCTTAGCATAATAGCCTCTAGTTCCAACCATGTCATTGCAAATGGCAAGATTTTGGTTTTTTTGTTGGCAGCATAATATTCCATTTTATATATATGTGTGTGTGTGTGTGAGTACACACGAGTGGAAAATATATACACACATGAGTGGAAAAAAAAGTGTGTGTGTGTGTGTGTGTGTGTGTGTGTGTGTGTGTATGTGTGTGTATATATGTATACACACACACACATATATATATATACACATTTTTTTATCCACTCATTTGTCAATGGACATCTAGGCTCTTTCCATAGTTGGGCTACTGGGGACATTGCTGCTATAAACATTGGGGTACACGTGCCCCTTCAGATCACTACATTTGTATCTTTAGGGTAAATGCCCAGTAGTGCAATTGCTGGGTCGTAGAGTAGTTCTATTTTCAACTTTTTGAGGAACCTCCATACTGTTTTCCAGAGTGGCTTCACCAACTTGCATTCCCACTAACAGTGTAGGAGGGTTCTCCTTTTTCTGCATCCTCATCAGCATCTGTCATTTCAGGAATGTTTCTAAAAGCATTTTTATTTTTTATTGAAGTATAGTTCACATACAATATTATATTAGTTTCAGGGTTATAACAAGTGATTCGACAATTATGTACATTATGAAATGCTTACCACAATAAGTGTAGTTACTAATTTTGCTATGCAAGATGTACACTGACCACATTAAAGACCAGTGCTTTCATGAAGCCTGTTGCTCTGTCCTTTGGTTCAACATTTTTATTGCGCTTCCACTGTGTTAGGCTTTGGGCTGGGTGATGAGTCAATCGTGAATAAAACTTATGGTTCTTTCATGTGATAAACATTTACCAAGTACCTACCATGTGCCCAGAACATGGAAGGGATAGAGCAGTGAGAACAAACTTCTGCCCTCAGGCAGCTTATACGCTCCGAAGAGACAGATAATGGGCCAGTCAACAGAGAATGATGCAGTGTCAGGTGGTGAAAAGTGCTCTGAAGAAAAATAAAGCAGAAAAGAAGATAGAAAACCATGGGGCGGAGGTGGGCTTCTACTCTGTATAGAGAAGTCAGGGCAAGTTTCCCTGAAGATGCAGCACTGGAACAGAGCTCTGAAGGAAGTGAGGGATGGAACCAGGAAAAGAGCATTTTACACAGATGCAAGAGAAATCTTTTGTTTTTGGAAAGACTGTGTTGAGGAAGAGCCAAAGGCTGGTGTGGCTGAAGTGTGTGGTCAGTGGGAGGTCTGGCAGGAGGAGGCCAGGGAGGTGGGCAAGGCCAGCCTGTGAAGGGTCTGGTAAGAAGAATCTGGATTTTGTTCAAAGTGTGAAGAGGAGCCATTTGAGGGTTGGGAGACATGGCAGACATGGAGTCCTTCCTTGAGAAGAGCATCTGGCTACTGTGTGGAGGACAGGAGGCAAGATGGTAGCAGAGACCTTGTTTTCAGAAGTTACTGCAGCAATCCATGATTTGAGGGAGGCAGCAATGTGGGTGGTGAGAAGTACTCCTATATCAGAAGAACCAAGAGGATCTGCTGATAGACTGGATGTGGAGTGTGTGAGAGGAGAAGGGGCCTGGCAATGCAATTTATGTAATGAGAAACACCAGGGAACTTCTGGGTGTTTGGGTGGGGAGGGGAAGTCAGCAGTTCAATCTGGGGAATGTTGAATTTGAGATGCCCATGAGACATGCACAGCAGTAGCTGGGTATATGAGTCTGAGTGCAAGGGAAACGTCAAGATCAGAGGTGGAAATTGCAAGCCAATGGTGCAGAGCTAATATTTAAAGTCATGAGACTAAGTAGAGAGAAGAGAAGCAGTGGGAAGGCTGAACCCGGGCACTGCAGTGATTAGAGGCTGGCCAAAGGACTGGGAGCCAGTGATGGAGACTGAGAAGGAGCTGCTGAAAGGTGGAGGAGAGCCAGAATAGGATGGGGTGAAGACAAACTTTCTGAGGAGGAAATGACTGATGGTGCTGATGCTGCTGGTAGATTGAGTAAGAGGAATGCTTAGAACTGACTCCTGGGTTTTACAATGTGGAAGCAACTGGGTATTCTAGCTGGGGAGTGAAATATTAAACTAATATCAGGTCAGCAGCTACATCCTTACAACTCTGGTAAGTGCCATGATGGAAAAAGCATAAGGAGCTGAGACCATATGTTAGGAGCGCAGAGCCCAGCGTGGCAGGTCAGGGAAGGTCTCTCTGAGGAAGTGACAGTTAGACTGGGCCTGAACAATGGGTAGGAGTTACTGAGATGAACAAAGGAAGGGGCGCTGAGGAGGGACAGAACACATCCCAGTAGAAGGAACAGTCATACACAGCCCCAGAATGGGGTGTAACTTGGTGTTATAAAGAAATGAAAAGAAATCCAGGGTGGCTGGAGCTCAGCAGATGAGATGGAGAGTGGCATGACGTGAGGCTGAATGGTTGGGCCAGGGCCAGGTCCACCTCATGGGCCCTTCAGAAGACTGTGAACTTTAACTTAAGAGCATCAGGAAGCTACTAAAGGATTCTGAGTCTGGGAGTGATGTGATCACATTTATGTTTATGAAAGCCCACCCTGGATGCTGTGGGGGATGGATCCGCAGGGGAAGAAGGGACTGTTTCCAGGACTCTTCGCAGCTCTCACTGCTTTTACTCAGATGTCTGCCATTTATCTCCCGGGCCATCTCGATTGCATTCTAGCTGGCCTTCTTATTTTGTCTGTCTTCCCGCCTGTCCTCCCATCCATTCATTCATCCATTAAACCACCCTACCCTTCCTTCCTAGCCGTTCACCAAGCACATATAGAGTACCTTCACCAGGCCATCAGCACAATCTTTTTAAAACCGGGTCACACATAGCTCAAAACTTTCAATGACCCTCCACCGCCCAAGAGTGAAGTATAAACTCCGTTCAAGCCTATTCAAGCCCACACCTAATCAATCTACCTTTCCTGCTGTGCCCTGGCCTCTGCCCCCACCTTCTGTGTGAGAGGGGAAGGAGCACCCGGTCAAAGCCTAGTTCTCTCACTGGCCAGATGGGTATTTTGGGTAACATTTCCTGACCCAACGTATTCTGTTCTCCCATGATATGCTGTGTGCAGCTCACATTCCCACCTTTATTCAGGTTACTTCCTTTGTTGGAATACCTGTCAAAATCCATTTATTCTTCCTAACCCCCACTGCAAAGGCTTTCTTCTCCTAGATTTCTACAGCTCTCTGCAACTCTTCTTGTATCTCCCCCACCCCCCAACCACATCTTGGAATCTGGGCCCCAAGCTCTCATCTTCATAATCCCCAGAGACTGTCTGCCACAAAATGGGTTCTCAATGAATACTTATTGAATTGTTCCCAGTAACCCAGGGAATCTCAGGAACAGGGCTTCCCGAGCTTTAACATGCATAGAAAGCACCTGGGAAGTCTTGCTAAAATACAGATTGATTCAGCAGGGCTGGTGTGGGGCCTGTAGTTTCCTGGGTGCTGCTGCTACTGGTCTATGGACCATCCTTTGAGGAACAAGACACTAAGAAACAAGCAGATGCTCTGTGGGTTACTCTGCAGCCTGTGCTATTCCCTGTGGTGGGGCTGGACCTTCCAGGGGCACCTCATGGTTTGGGGCTTGTTACCTCAGAGGTTTCAAGGGACTGGATCTCCCTTGGTAACTCCACAGCATGCTTATTGAAGTAGTCCATGGTGATGGCATTGTTCCAGTAGCTCAGGTTGTTCTCTGGATTGGCCGTCTTTTTCTTCCTCCTCAGGCAGCACACTGTCAGCAAGACAGCTGTAGAGAGAGTCCAAGTTAGAGATGGGGGAGGGAGACAAGCATGGGCCAGCATCGCTGAGTGACAGAAGCAAGTCTCCAGGTGAATTTGTGATGGCCATACATTCAGCCACTTACCCCATTTGTTAATTTGTTTGTTGGTTCAACAACTATCTACACATATTGAATGCCAACTTCAGGCCAGGTTCTGGGAGAGAGGGAGTGAAAAAAAGACAAGGCTGCGCTGTGTCATAAATATCCCTCCTAGTTTGTGTATGGAGGAGCACAGAGAGGGTCACATGATATATAATAAACAAAATGAATATAAGGTAAATTCAGACAGCAGTAATTGTTTAAAGAAAATAAAATAGGGTGAAGTGAGGGAGTGAATGGAGACGAGTTGAGGAGAGAATGCTTTAGGGTGATCATGAAAGGCTTTCCTCAATGTGTGATCCTATCTGTCCAATCTCTGAGACTTATGGAGCTCCAGGGAGGAATGAGTATATTTGGATGTTGTGAATGAACAGGTATGTGATCAGAGGGGCTTCAGCTTGCCAAGAGGGAAGGCTTCTGAGGTTGGGGAGGTAAGATGGCCTGTCCAGGCTCACATAGTGCTGAGTAATGCTTTAACAAGGATGAGAGCAGCCCTCTTAGGGAGAAGCCAGTAAATGAAGACTGGGCATTTCCCTGCCAGGATTACCATCACCATAGCCTGTGGGATGGCTGAAACTCCAGGCCTGGGGTGGGCAGGGCTGCAGTCAACATCTTGGAGGTGATGACCATCTGTGCTGGGTAGAGGGGACCCCAGATCCAGCAGTTCAGAGGCTGGCGCCGTCATGGCAATAACCACCAGGGGGCAGCAGAGTGCCAGCTCTGTCCAAGGCAGCCTGAGGATTTGGCCAGCATCAAGGGGCCTGTACATGTCAGGATGTGGGGTATCTGCTAAAGTTGGCATCCATATAGGCTGAGACCTCAGGGCCCACCGCTTCAGTCCCTGCGGGATAACAGGATTTCTGTAGCTCTCTTCTCAGCTGCTGGCCTTGCTGGCATCTCAACCTGAAAAGACCTCCAGGCAAGGGCAAGAGATTGGGCAAGTTTCTATTGATCTGATCTGCTTTGATCAGAAAGACTTCTCATTTGCTCACTACTTTTATAGGTACCCTTAAAAAAGTTTTAAAGATATAAAGGACATTTCTGAATGTTTGAGCTAAAAGAAATTTCAAACTGGTTGGTATAGACTTTCAAACATTGAAAAATTTCCAAACTCAAGCTCTCCTTTTTTCTTCTCTCCCTTCCTTCCAAAGAAGGACATGATTGAAGGATGAATGGGGTGAGGTGGGGGAGCTGTAGAGCTCAGTCTGAAAATGCTAATATAGGGCATCTCCTTATTTTACAGATGAGCAGACTGGTCCAAAGCATCCTGCTGACTTGCCACAGGTCATAGGTCTGTGAATGGCAGGGCTGGATCAAGGCCCCAGGTCCTGTCTCCCCTTTATTCTTCACAGTCACTACTTTTCCATCCTGTTCCTGGAACTTGGCTTGAGAAATGGTCTGGGGGAATTCAAACTGGTGAAACAGAAGCCATAAAGCTACTAACCTGTGTTGGGATGGGTTGCAGAGTCTAGGTCCTCTGACCCCCAGTCCAGTGCTCCCTCAAGCCCACACTGCCCCTGGCTCCAGAGCGTGGGCCTATTTAGGACACAGGACCAGGACTCTGCCTTGTGGGAAGAGCTGGCCCTGTTGCAGGATGGTCTGGGGGGTTGGAACAGGGAGCTCTGTTCCTAGTTTTCTCCCCTCAAATGTTAGTGCTTCAGGCCTGATTGTTTCTCTCAGGGAATTCCCAGTGCCTCTCGAGTGCTCTTTCATTTACAATAGAAGCTGGCCTGGCCACAGAAAGAACTTGGGCATGGAGTCTAAAAGGCCTGGGTTCAAGTCTGACTCTGCTGCGTGTTATATTAGGTAAGTCACTTCAGCATACTTGACTACTCACAGGGCTGTAATGAGAGCTAGAGATCATGAATGCAAAATGCTGAGCACCCTGCCTGATGCACAGTCAGTACTTATTTAATGAGAGTTTTCTTCTTGTTCTTCCAGCATCCTCCACAAGAGAAAGAAAAACTGGGCTACATGACTATTGAGTGGCTCAAGGCCAAGGGACCACCTGTGATTTAGAACTTTCATTATTTTGCTGGCCTGACCTTTCACCCAAGAAAAAGTACAGTTCAGACTTATGGAGTCGCTAATATATGTCCAGTGCTGACCTAGGCACTTTACAGTCTGATTTAACCCACAAAATAGCTCTCTCAGGAATGTACTGTTACTCTTCCTCTTTGCAGAAGAGGCAAATGAAGCTCATGGAAGTTAACAAAATTGATCTTGATCACTCAGGTAATTAATGGAACTTGACCTGGGTCTCCGTGACCCTCAGGGAAATGCTTGTTGTCTTATATTGCCCTGAACACTGCAGGGAACACATCTGAGGCATGTGGAAGCACTTGTAAATGACACAACTCTGTGCAAACACAAGCCCATGCCGGCATCTGCCTTTTTTTTTTTTTTTTTTTAAGAGAGAGAGAAGGAGGCAGAGAGAGTGTGAGCAGGGAGGGGGAGAGGGAGGAGAGAGAGAATCCCAACTGGGCAGCACACTCAGTGCAGAGCTCAATGCAGGGCTTGATCTCATGACCCTGAGATCATGACCCAAGCCAAAATCAAGGGTCAGATGCTTAACCGACTGAACCACCCAGATACCCCTGGCATCTGCCTCTTGAAGGCCCTGAGCTAACACAGTGGATATTAATCCTATTTTTATAGGTGAGAAAACACTGGGCCAATGGTTAAGTAACGTGTCCAAGCCCCACAGGTGACTGGCAGGAGAGGTGCTGTGACATATTTGATTCCACAAGCCAAGTCTTTCTATTATACCAGGCCTCTTCTCCAGGGATTTATGCAGGTTTAATGTTTAAAAAAGGTTAGAAGACAGGGAGGTGTCACATATTTCAGTTTGGCTCCTTCACTTTGAAGATGAGAAAGCTGACATTCTGGAAGGGAGGATTGGTCCAGTGGTGCCAGCCTGAGGGACCAGCCTAGCTTGTGGACAATCACTTCCTTTCTTTGGGGGTTTGTGCAGGAGGTTCAGGGAGGCCTTAAGGTATGGAAGGATGCCAGGCTGGACATGAGGATATAGGCCTGGGGAAACCAGGTTTGGAGGCTCACTGTCAGCAGCCCATCCTGGTGGGTGGGACTAGAAGGCTCCCAGCAGGGGGTGCTGGTTGGGAAGCACAGAGAAGAGGTAAGAGAGCATGGCACTCTGGTCCAGCTGAGGTGACAGCCCCTGGACAACCTCGCCTGGCCCTGGGGCTTCTCTACATCCCCCTTGCTTCAGTTAGCTCACAAGCCCCAAGGAGACACACTTCCTTCTCATTCCAATTTATTCTACTCTTTTCAAGGAAAGAGTAACTCTGACCCATGTTTTCTTATGTAATAACTACAAAGTCATTTTGGACCTGTAAGAGATACATATATCTAATGGCATTCACTGTCAATCTGGAACGAAGCCAGAATGCTCTGGGGCGCAGTGCACATGGACCCTCACACATCTGGGGCAGAGAGAGGTGTTACTCTGTTTCAGCCAGGCTCAACCTAGATTGGTGGTGAAAAACATCTGCAGCTGGTCTGGTTCCTGTTCTCACCATCCATAAAGACTTTCATCTTTTTCAGGGAGGCAGGGTGAAGACATTCTTGAGAATGGATTTGGTATGTGCCACAAAACTGACCTGATGAAAGCCCAGAGCACGGACTGGGGTGTGTGAGGATCAATTCAGCGCCAGGCCCAGAGGGTTCTAAAAGAAGGTGGTGGGCTCTTTGCATCCTGATGGTGGCAGCAGAGACCAGCTCAAGAGCCACATGGCATCTCTGCCCTAGCCAAATGTGGCCTGGATCCAATCAGTTTTGGTTTTCAGCACATCTGAACCCCTGTGTGGCCGTCTCTGGCATGGCTCAGGAGACAAAGCATTTCTCAATCCTCACACATATATCTTTCCAGCCATTGGGTAGGGCTTACGATCTGGAAGGGTTGGTGGAACTGATGACAGCCCTTTTTGGGCAGGCCTGAGATTTGCTATGATAACCCCCTGTTTCCAACAGAAGCAGGGGATTCAACCACCTGCCTAGCAACTCTGGCCTCCTGAAATCTGGTTTCTGGTACATGGAGGAAACAAGGTCAGGGCTGGTCAGGGCTGGGACAAGGTCAGGGCTGGTCTGAAAAGCCAGATGTGAGGAAATGCATGCACTTTGCTACTAACCCAGCCTGCCTGAAATACATGGCAAACTGGCAATGAAGACCCTTCTTTGAGGGCAGTAGAGTGAGCTTTAGGATAAATGCAGCTGCTGGAAGAGGTCTGCTTATCTGATGACTGGAGTGGGATTAGGCTATGAAAGCAGCCTGGATATTTACTCATCTGTGCTTTGAAAGAGCACAGTATTTTGAAGCTGGACAAGTATTCTATCTTGATGTCCCTTGCATCAGGGTCTTCACCGGGCCCCAAAAGGATGGTCCCACAGGAGTTGGGGCCATGACTAAGGATAGGGAACTCTATGTGGAAGCAGCTAGGACTAAGGCAGGGATCTTGGCAAGTAGGGCTTAGGGGAGCCTCCCAAGTGCACACTGGGAATGCAAGACAGACGCTGAAGGACATGGAGTATGTGGTTCCAAGGGACTGTGAGAGTCCACTTTGAAAAAAGGGTTCATAGCTTCCTTTACAAAGTTGTACTTTCTACTCCAGCATCTGAAGGCTCTTTCAGAGTGCCGGGAGCATTTTCTATGTGCAGTTTCAGGCTGTGTCCTTGTTTCTGTCTTGGCTGATATTATTATGCATGGTTTAGGCAGCCCATGGGTTTTCTGACCTTGCAGTAAGACCTAATTTCAAACTCACACATGCAAAAAGGGCTGTAGAAGTCTTGTTAGAACTGTAAAACAGGTGGGTGTGGCCTGTGGGGTGAAGCCTAGATCTACTCTGTGCTGTCCAGCTGAGGCAAAGAGAAAGGCCCAGGTGGGGAGAGGGCTCTGTGAGCTGGGGGAGGCAGCCACATCAGATATCTCAATTCCCTAGTGCTTGGCATAGTGCCTGGCACACAAGGGGCACTTGGGAAATATTGTGTTGAATCACAACAGATTCTACCACTGGATCTGAGATGACTTATGTGATTGGGACCCTGGGCAAGTCAGTTCACCTGAGGACTTAGTCTCTGCCTATAAGGTATGTTCTTGCATAGCATGTTTAATATGTTTTTTTATTCCTCTGACTAGTCTGTTTTACAGATGGCTTGGTTAAAAATAATGGGAACTCACTTTGTAAACTAAAGCTTCTAGAGACACTTAAAGAATGAAAAATTTAAAAGATGGTCTCTAGTGTGGTTACTTCTCAAATATGACTATTATTAATAATTTATTGGCTAATAGAACTACATTTTCTCATTATCATTCTTCTGTTTTAGAAGTGGACAATCACAGTTTTAAGCATTCATGTGTGTTTCCATGAGAGACAATAAAGGCACTTAATGAAAGAATAAAATATGCAACCTGTAAACATTTTCACTTTTCCTAAATTGGGTCCTTGAGCAGAAGTAGGTTGCCCACCTTTGACATGGAAAGTTTGCTTTGCTTTTCAACTAGAAGGAAACAAAAAGCTGGGAGAGGTGACTTCTGGAAAGAATCTAGAATCTAGATTTAAAAAGATCTTGTTGGTATAATGCCAAGTAGAAATTATGCTCATGTTAAAGGCATATACCTCCTGCACTAATGTTCAAATGACCCATGGCATGAAGAAAGGCTGGGAGAGCAGCTTAACAGCCTCCATTGTGGAAAGTTTCTGGGGCTTTGTTCTTATTGAGATCAGGATGAGCCCATGGTGTGATGTGACAGTTAGTATAACAGACAGAGCTGATATCAGTGTTGGCTTCCTGAGTGTGACTGAAGTGTCTAGAACAAAGGAAACACCACCTGCTCTCCTCTGTCATGGCTGGCCATGTGGAACACCATGCTCCCTACTGGGAGAGCAGGGCTAAACTTGTGGTCATTCGGAGCAGCAGATGATGGGGTAGGGCCAGGGCAATGTGAGATTTGAAGGAATTGGGATGAGCGGCTTAGAAAAGGAAAAGCTGTCTTTGTGCACCATTTCAAATGTTTCAGGAATTGGTAGATAGACTGATTTTGTATGGTTTCAGAGGGCATGGCTTAGGACCACAGAGTGAAAATTACAAAGAGAAAAATGTCAAGCTTCCAGGAGAGCTGGGTAACAACCTGAGGGAGTCAAAGGAGAATGGCTGTCCAATGACTGAGAAGCACAGGGGGTTTCTCACCCCTGGAAGGGTTCAGAAGGAGGCCAGCCAATAACCGTGGAGGGGTGGGGGAAGCTAAAATTAGTGAGGATTCATGTGAGTTTATCAGAGAAACTCTAAGAATCTAGTATCAAGTACATGGGGAAGACATAAAGGAAGCCCCAATATTCTGAGTGATTAAATCAGGTACTTTGTGGCAAGGTTAGGGGGAAGGATCTTTCAAATTCTCATTAAAGGAGTGACAGGTAGCAGCACGGAAGTGCTGGTGGCCTGGGAAAGACCTTCTCCACCAGCACCAGTGGAAGCAATGTAGTCCACACTGCATCCAGCTCACACCATCCATGAACAAATAAAACTGTGGAAGAGGGATGGGGCACCTGGGTGGCTCAGTGGGTTGGAGCCTCTGCTTTTGGCTCAGGTCATGGTCTCAGGGTCCTGGGATCAAGCCCCGCATCGGGCTCTCTGCTCAGCGGGGAGCCTGCTTCCTCCTCTCTCTCTTTGCCTGCCTCTCTGCCTACTTGTGATCTTTGTCTGTCAAATAAATAAATAAAATCTTTAAAAAAAAAAACTGTGGAAGAGGGAGAAAATAGCTAAATTCATGTGTAACTCTCAGGCTCTCAATTTAGCTATAGGAACTGCTGCTTTTGCTAAGGCTAATAGAAATTCCTGCAAGGTCAAAGCCTCCTCTCCTTTTTTGGAGAAAGAGAGAAAGAGCAGGAGGAGAAGAGATGAGGGAAAGGAGGGAAGATAGGCAGAAAGATGGATGTGCAGTGGGAGAGGAAGGTGAGGGCTCTACTACTTGCAGGTTGTATGTTTAGAAGTGCCAGTGTTCCCCTATGGTGTCTTGGTGCCATGTCACTACAGCCATTAGCAGGCTGCCCTTGAGGGTGAGTGTGGCAGGATGGTGTCATGATAAGAACACTGGGCAGGAAGTTGGTGACCCTCTATCCCAGGCCTATCCCTCACTTAACTTCGGGCTCCTGGGTGAGCCACGGCACCTCTCCAGCTTGGTGTTTCTTTCTGCACAATTCAGAGCTTGACTGGACTACTTGGAATGTTCTCCCCCACTCCTGGGAGCTCTCTTTTTATGACGAGTGGGCATCTGATCCATGGCCTGGCAGAGCTAAGGACTAGGGGTAGGGATAAGCCATGATTTGTGTCCTGCCACCTAGTCTCCTACAATTCTGGGAAGTTTAGCCACCTGTTTGGTAGGGACTTCCCAGCTCTGGGGCAAAGGCTCTCTGGGAACAGACAAGTTGATGTGATAGAGGGAGAGGAGGGAAAAGGGGAGGAGTAAGGAGAGGGTGAGGCACTTACAGCAGGAGGAGATGGGCACGCTGATGGCCAGGATCACCCAGGCGATGTCCATCTTGCTCAGGCAGATGGTGGCTCTGTGCTGGGGTTTGTCCCCTTCGGCCACATGGGATATATTCCCTGCTGTTCCAGGCTTCCAGGTCCCGGCAGGGACTAGGCGGTTGAGGAAGTTTCCTGTGGCTGTGGACACCACTGTGGAGAGAGGACTGGGCACCCTGTTGGTCGTGGTGGGGGTGGTTGTAGCCTCCTCCTTGGCTTGGGAAACAGTGCTTTCTGAGCCCCTGGTGGGGTGGGCTGGGGCCTGCGAGGTTGAAGATGTTCCCTGAGGGGTCCCCTTGGAAGGGGCGTAGACACTGGCATTGAAGGCAGCCTGGGTGGGCCCCGCGGTGGCTGTGAAGACCCCAGAGCTGGTAGATGGAGGTCTGTTGATGCTGGGGGTGACAGTAAGCCAGGAGTCACTGTGGCTGGGGCCATCCTGTGGGTCACCGCGGGGGCGCTGAGAAGGCACTGGGGCAGGTTGTGGACTGGCAGGGGCACCTGAGGCTACTGTGGTGTCCGGCTCCCCTCCTTGGCTGGTGAAGGTGGAACCACCCCCCTGGTCTGCTCTGCTAAGGCCTGGCTTGTCCTCTGCAGGCACCAGGGGGGTGGTGGGTGGTGCCCACGAGGTCCTACTGGGCGCCATGGTTGTGGCCACTGTCTGGGGTTGTGGCAAGGAAGAATAACCCCAGAGTGGGTTCCTGGGAGTGAGGGTGGACAGGTCAGGTTCTATAGACCCTGTAAAGTTGCCTTTGTAGATCTGAAAGATTTTCCCCAGGGGCCGCTTCTGCCCCAGATGTGTGGAGCTCTGATTTCGTCCCCGCTGGCCTTCCTTCCTCCCAGAGTGGTGGCCACTAGGTGCGGGCAGGACAGAGCGTGATGAACTGCTGGTCCCCTTTCGGGAAGAGCCTGGGGGCCTGGGAGGTCTGCGCGTGGTAGCCCGGGTAGGTGCTGCGGTGGGACGGCTGGTGGCTCCCGTTGGCTTTGTCAGCAGGATGGTGGCCATAGCTTCCCCCTGGGGATGGCCCTCTGAGTGGGAGGATGTGGTTGCCATGGCAGCAGGAAGGGGCCCTGTGGTTAGGGGGCCTTCAGAATGTGGGGTGGTTGCTGTCATCATGATGGTGGAGACGGTGTTTGTAGGAGGGCGTCCATCTGGATGGGGTGTTGTCATTGCCATGGGAGCTGCAGCCTGTGAGGAGGATCCATTGGGATGCGGGGTCAGTGAGCCCACAGAAGTGGGGGCAGTTGCCATGGAAGAATGTCTGGTAGAGCTGAGGGTTGCTGTCACCATGGTGTCTGGGGTGGTGCCTGAGGGGAGGACCTGAAGAGATTCTCTGGGAGATGGTTCCTGGGTGGCAAATACCAGTGCTTCGGTCAGTGCCAAGATCAGGAGGAAGCCTTGAGAGGAAGACAGAGAGAAGAGGTGAAATACCTGGGGAGTTGCTCAGAGCCTGGACCTTCCTTACCCATGAAGCTGTGATGCTCTGGGAGCCAAAAGGAACACTGGGAGCATTCCGGAGGTCCACACTGCCACCCTGACCCCCAAGAGCAGCTTCTCAGAACAGGCTGGGCTGGGTGTGGGAAGGATTATGGCCTCCGAATGCCTGCTGCCCCTCTGTAGCCAAGGAGTGGTCAAGGCCAGGTTGATCAGAGGGAGGCTGGCAGCTCTGTGTGAGCCAGCCTGAGTCAAATGTGGAAGGCTTCTGCGGGCAGAGCTGACCAACTCTTATGCCTTTTCTGAATATTCCATTTACGGGCTGGACAAAGGCACAAATTGTCAGATGTCTGTTTATTCAGTCCCATTCACTGGGCAAGTAAGGAGGGTCTCTATCCTCTCCCTGACATTGGAGGACACAAAAATGGACAAAGCAGTCTCTGGCTCTGAGTGAGCTCAGACCAATCCACAAACAATCCTAAAACAAGACAGAGAAATCTCAGTGCCATAGGTCAGTGATAGGCAGAAGGGGATAGCGGTCCAGTGGGTGACCAGATCTGGTGCCCACATAGCACTTAGCAGAGAGCTGGAAGAGAAGATGCACTCCAAGAACACCACTTGGTTTTATGGTTGTCATTAATGTTAACTGCTTTTCCTATGGCGCTCATGTGGCTGAACTCTCTGTGGAAAATCACTGGTGATGCCCAGCCTTTTGAGTAGGAGGACCTCTTTTGAGCATTAAAAGAAAATCATGAATTTCGCATGATGATCAGTGTGTATGCTTTTGGTTCGTTGAGAAAATGCACAGGAACAAAAACGTATAAATTTAAAAATACTTCTAAATATATGTGGATTTATTAATCATAATAGCATGTGTCAAACTTTACAAATAATACATCTCATATAAATGTGAGACATAGGATCTGTTCAGATTATAAGCTGGAAAACTGGCCACCCTGGTACAATACATGGGCTGGGAAGAACTGGTCTCAACAGCTGATGCGTGGCCTGATCGACTTCTAAGGCCTAATTCTGACCTGTGAATTCCCCCTTTTTCTTATGAAGCCCTTCCTGGTTACTGTCATGTCCTTCCTTCAGCTCTGCTAGCCACCTAGACAATGGTAGAGATCTGTCTCTATCTGGTAACTCTCTGGGAGCCTCCCTCCCCCCCTAGATTCAAGCACTGAATGGCCAAAGCAGGGATCCTGGCAGTGATTTCTATGTATCTGGGATGATCAGCAAGGCTGCAAAGCCCTGGTGAGCTTTCAGAAACAAAGAAGGGGAGATCATCTGGCATGCCTTTGAAACAGGCCCAGGATTACTAGTGAAGCCACCTCTGTCTTGGGTGTGGGGTGGAGTCTGAGTGTGGACCAGCTCACCTCGCCTTGCATTTCTAAATTAGTGGGTGGAGGGAGGCCAAGGGACAAAAGATTGAACAGACTGTAGCACACACAGTCTCTAGGACCAACAATTTGTCCTAAGCAAACTATTTTTTCCTAAACTTTCTTTGGTGATCTAAACCATATATTAACAGTAAGCTCTGCTTATTCAAGTCAATCTTAAAAACTGTTTTCTGAGCATCTGCTCTGGCCCAGTCTTTCATACGTTTTAATCCTCACAATCACTCAATGGGGTAGGAAATTGAGATCTCAGGTAGATTAACGAATGTGTTTAAAGTCCCATCATAGTTGTGGTATATGGAACAGAGCTGTATCTAAAATGCATGCTTTTCCTGGTCAACCACCACTGATAATGCAGGAAGAGGAAGTTGCTGTGCTGCAATGCTCTGACTGGCTCAGGGTTATTCCAACCCCTCTCTTGTAGCCAAATACCACAGGGACAATCTGTTCTTAGGGCTGGGAGTCTTAATCTCTGACGTTTTGAGGGACATTCTCTTACAAGCCTATGTTTTGCTCACGAGTCCCTTAGTTCAGTATAAGTGTTAAAGATTGAACTGTGTGTCCCCCAAATTCATTTGTTGAAGCTCTAACCTCTAGTATCTCAGAATGTCACTGTGTTTGGCAATAAGGCCTTTAAGGAGGTTATTAAGTCAAAATGAGGCCTTTAGGGTGGTCCCTAATCTAATCTGACAGGTGTCTTTATAAGAAGAGGAGATGAAGACCCAGAATGATACCAGAGATGCTTGGACACAGAGGAAAGGCCACCTGAGGACACGGTGATAAGGTGGTCATCTTCAAGTCAAAGAGAGAGGTCTCATCAGAAGCCAATCCTGTCAGTAACTCGATCTTGGTCTTCTAGCCTCCAGAACTGTGGGAAAATAACTTTCTGTTGTTTAAGTACGCCCAGCCTGTGGTACTTTGTTATGCCAGCCTGAGCTAAGACAGATGTCTTACATTAGAGATCCTCAGAAAAAGGAAAGGCAGAGTTGTGTTCAGGTAGTATATTTTGGGAAGTGATTTGAGGCGACGACCATGGCAGTCTGAGATGAGTCAAACAGAGAAAATCAATCTGAGGGCAGGTTATGAGTTGATCAAATATGATACTCATATTTGCTGGGGACCTCTGAGGGGCTGAGTAGACTGCACCTCAAACTTTCTATGTGAGAGGAGCATTTGCTTTCCAACTGCATTCCAGCAGTTCTTGATGTGGGAAACAAAGGCAGAAGAAAAATTAAATTTCCTTACTACTTACAGCCCATTGACCAATCCTTGAAACAGGCAGTGACATTTCTCTAGGAACTCAGCTGCCTTGATGTTAATATTTTGCTAAGGGCAGGAGGCAATCTTATCCCAATCCCCCAAGATCCTGTAAGTCTTCTTTAACATATAAAAATTCCTTTGGAAACTTTTTCTCTATCCACCAAGATACATGTTAGCAATCATCCTTCAAGCATATAGCCCACTGATATACATCTGAAGGGTCTCATGACTGAGTTTTTTCTAAACAGTAATAAACGACCTTTCCCTAACACTGGCTAGCCCCCTTAGGATCTTGGAAACCTTGTTTCCAAAATACCTTGGAGGCCGTGCTGTCCCTGATCCCCTCTCAACTTGAAAGTATATAATGAGTCACCCATCACAACCCCAGTGCAGCTCTTTCTGCCCATGGGTCTTGTCCCTGTGCTTTAATAAAATCACCTTTCACATCAAAGATGTCTCAAGAATTCTTTCTTGGCTGTTGGCTCCAAACCCCACCACTTCCTACATCACTCCCATCTCCACTGGCTCAGGGCTACTTCATTGGTGCTCATTCCTCTGTATTCTTTTCTTCTGCATGAGGCCCATGGCCAGTGTGGCTTAGTCAGAGAAGCCCCAGGCAAGGGGCTGTCAGGGTATGCCTGTGCCCAGCTGGTGGCTGCTGCAACAGCTGGAGTTAAAATTAAGGGCCCTTGGCTTCCTGGGCTAGAACACCAGATACGTGAGAGAAAATCAGAGACCAGAGACCAAGGACATGGAAATCTTTTGGCAGCAGCACTAAGGGCAGTGCAAAGCTTACAGACCCCGAAAGATCCCAGTGACAGGTGGGAGAGGAGCCACCCTGGCCTCCAGAAGAGCTTTTGCAGCACTCTAGAGGTAGAAGGGTTAACACATCGTAGTCTGTAAAATACTAGGGAAAGAAATGCTCTTGACTTTCTCACCAGGAGCATTCCAGGGGCTAAAATCCTCCTAGCTGGGAAATATATGACTATAATCGTTCTTGCTTTAAGACTTACTGTGTAAATAAATATTTGCCTTTGTTGTCCCCTTCTCCCTTTTAAAAATTAATTCCTTGAGGTTATTTTTCTTTCTAGGAAGACTGTTAAATTACCCCTCAGTCCTTCTTTAGACTTAGAGTAAACCTTTGTTTGGTACAATGAATGGGTATTGTCATCTGTGTGCCAAGAATTTTCATTTGGAGGATGACGTTTAGCTGTCACAGTAAGAGGGGCCCTAGAGGTAACTTAATCAAATTCCCTCATTTCACACAGGGGGCAATGGAAGGAGCAAAGTGACTTGTCCAAAAACACACAGCAAGTTGGGGGCACAGCCTGGACCACATCCACTATTTCAAAGCAACTTTTCATTTGTATTATAAAAATTGCTACGATGTTGCACTGCACAAACACCTCCTTCAACCTCCACTGTCATTTTCACTAAGAAAATTAGACATGACTTTACCTCTCCTCTTTGGCATAAAAGGTTAATAACTGAATGAAAGGGTGCATACTGTCACAATAACTCTGCAAGGCCTTCAACCTGGGCTTCCCCTAACAGATGCAAATTTTCATTCAAGTCCCTTTGTGTTGGCCTGCTACTCTTCTCCCCACAATCTGGGGTTATTGCCTCTTTGCATATAATTTGCATAGATTTGCATAATAGCCTCTGGAGGCTCTAATGCCAAATATGTGAGAGAGACTAAAACTAAAATTTAGCTTGACATGCTTTAAATGTGGAACTGAATTTTAAAGCATCTTGGAAAATGGACAAGCATAGGGTGTGGAAACCCACAGACTGATGGGTGTCCAGATGTTGCAGGAAGGCCTCCTCCTCCCTAAAATTCCAATGTGTACATGATCCCAGGGCCCAAGGAAAGGAAAGGTCCTCCTCCTTCTGTTGATTTGGTTGGCTGCCCACAGTGCATATTGGGCATGATACTTGCATCTGGCAAAGGCAAGGAGGGAGCTGGTGAAGGGAGAAATGGCTAATTTAATGTATGAGGTGCTTCCTATATGCCAAGCACTGCTTGAAGGGCTAAGCCTGTCCTGATATATTTAATTCCCAGACTACCCTGATGAGATAGGTACTATCAGTAACTCATTATTGCAATTGAGGAAAAGCAGCACGGAGAGGTACAGGAACCTGTCTCCTTTCACACAGGTAGGATATGGTGAGCCGTGATTTGACTTGGCACCTTGGCTTCAGAGTCTACACTCTTAAGGGCACTTGGGTGGCTCAGTTGGTTAAGCGTCTTACTCTTGATCTCAAGGTTGTGAATTCAAGCCCTGCACTGGGCTCCACACTGG